CGTTATTTGATATGCTTAAAATGTATACCGCGCATGCGCACGTCGACCGTACGTAATGTCCATACTTTCATCCCTTGACAGGCTGAATGAAACAAATGAACAGCCAGCAGCCCTGCGAATGTCTGTTAGAATTTCCGGTTTTTCAATACCGACGCCAATGCCGTGCGTTATCCAATGTGCAAACTTTCGCTCTGTACATTAATTTCGCGAAGCTCTTGATATGACGCCGTGACGATGTTCCGGGTTTGTAATAACAGTATAATCCTAGGTGATGAGAAATACATCCCTGCCTTACGTCCTTTACCTCTTTCACGGGAATATACTTCCATTCATAGTACCACACCCATGACACGTGCACCGTTGTAAAATTCAGTCGATTAATTTTTCGCAATTTTTTTTGCAACTCCTACAATATTATTTCTCAGTCACATATTCGTCCTGTCTCCGTTTCGTTAATTAACAAATAACCTAAATAAACATTTTCACAAATCGAATCGATACAATAAGAAAAAGAAAATTATTTTTCTTCGTATTTGACTAAATATATTTTTTTCGCATTACCGACGGATGACGAGATATCGCGTATTTACTGTTTATCTAAAAATAAATCTGGCCACCGGGTACAGTTAGCAATGAGAGGTCTGGTCCGCAATGGGTTAAGAAAATGTGGATTTCATGGAATCCTGAACCCGTAAAATTGGCCACTGTCTGTATCATCTCCGGATTCTAGTCCACGGGATCATTTATCTCACGCGAAATAATGCGTGTTATTCGAGTTAAAAGACAATAAAGCACAGCTGTTGAAAATCGATGCAACAGCCTCCCTGGTCCAGCGGTCCTCGAAAACGGATGATTTCCACTTGTGTTTGCCAAGTACCCGCACTTTGCTTGTCACAGAAAACGATACAGGGAACGCCACTTTGTGTGCATAACATTCAGCCATAAGGACAACCACTTAGAGGCTCCTTTCCTTCTTCCTTTCGGACATGTTTGAATAGGCGCGCCTTTTATACTCACTTCGAACATTTTCAGACAGACTATACCACGTGTGATGACTGAGCATATACCCATCGTTTTCATCTTTCCGCATAGCCTGCAGCTGCTGAACTTGAATAAAAAAAAAAAAGTTATCTCAATACACGAACGCTGATACATAGCCGGTCGTAATTTTCCAAAAAATTAAATCGACCAAAAAAACAAATTTTTATTATAAAAGTTCACCCCCGTTATTACCCCGTGCCTCTAACCACCCCTAGCAGCATACGTACTGCACTTGAGATATTCCCATAGCAAAGATAAAAATCTAAGGAATAAGGATTACGATAAGAATGGACCAAATCTACTTGGGCGCTCGAACGAAATCGAATTTGTGTCTCACTCGTTCCGGAATCATCCTCCCTTTTTTCTATAAGTTTCACACTGCGCTGCATCTTCCGCTTCTTTAAGCCAGCTGACTTTAAGCATGGAATTGAATGGGAGTGATTTAGTCCGGTTCGCATCCGGAAATTCACTTTCTTGCCGATGCCCCATAAATACGAGTGGCTCAGGCAGCCGCGCCGTGAAGAAGGAATGGATAAGCCGGAGAGCCTCTAAAACTCCGAAACGCAGCTATTTCGAATTTACTTGGTCACGCTTCGCGGATTCTTCCTACGTTTATATCAAGTGCCCAGGGGGGGGTCGGATCGTGGAATTTTATGTCGCGTGACACGATCGACTCAAGGAAGCAGCTACCGCGTGATGTTGCACTTTGAAAATTTGTACCCAGTATAGGATAAAATTCAAAATTCAAAATTACATATAAAATTATTTTCATAATAAAAATAACTACCCCGCCAAGTAGACACGAGAATTCCGACTATTCGGGATGCGAGCATCGATTGGCTTTCATTTGGAATTTCCGTGAACAAACTTACAGAAGGTTATTTGGTATAGCGCGAGGAGTAATGAGATCCCTTAAACCGAAATTTCCTTGTCATCCCCCAACGTAGGACGTTCCCCTAAAATCGCTCGATTACTGACCAATACACGTGTCCATGGGTAACCTAATGTCCCGATCAGACCCTTCTTAATAGGGACTGTCCGAAAACACATGTACAGAGTACATCCTCCTCGAATCCCGAATCCCTATATCCAGTGCGCATCCCCCTTTGCAGAAGCAGCCTGGCTGCTTTTGCTCCGTCATTGCGAACCTATCTATCTGTTCGGTGAGGCATGCGTTCACCCTCGCTCCTACCCCCTCCCGTGTATATAGAGAAGGATGCCTACCGTCCCATACAGAATGGACCAAGAGCCGCAGCATCCAGTAATGCACCAGGATCCCTTTTCATTACTTTATGGTAATACGATCGACGCCCTCTTCAACTTGGAACTTTCATTCGAAATTAGACCCAAGGATTTGAATTCATCCCTTTCAAAGGGGAAGGCGTGAATTCCAATACAAAATGACCACTATGAATTCTTGGCAATCCGATGGCTTTGAGACTTTACGATTCTTAGGTGAGAGTACTCGAATTAATTTTTTGGAAGAAAATTTTTTTCATTAAATTTTTATCAAAATTTGAGATTGGGTGTAAAGGCTTCGTGGGGCCGAATCTATGATGTGTAAAGATAATGGGGATTATTGATCGGTCATTGAACAGTTGTAATTAAGGGTGAATGACAATTTGGAAATTGACCATAATTACGAATTAGCCATAATCCGTCTCGGTGCTGTTTCCAAAATCCATTGGATCTACTCGCCGAGCGGTAACACGCATCTGGGTCATTGATTAGGAAATTCCAACCACTGGTGCATTGACGTCGCGACGCCCCAAAATGGCAGCCTTGATCCTTCGTGACATATGCGACGTCCAACGTCCTATGGAACTACAGCCAACTGCAGTCGAGACGTGAAATGTGTTCATCGGCAGCTCTGACTCATTTTCAAGTGATCTAACCTGCACTAGTACATTGGTCCATTGGCCCAAATAGCACGGGACTTAATTATAGTAATTGCCGAACATGGTTTAATGCTTCCCTTGAATTCCTTATGAATTAATTAAGTCTCAGTCGACATCGGTTCTACGTAACGATCGATTCGATCTCGTCAGATAATCGATTATTCGTCGGTCGGGAGATTCGTAAAAATTATCGATTGATTTAATTGAACTTAGGGAGCTTCTCCGATCGTCAGACTAGACGTTTCGAATGAATTATTAATAAATATTAAATATATTAATGCGCTGGTGGTCGGGTGTATTAATAAATAATTGAGAAGCGTAGACAGGAACGTACATTGATTCGTGTTAAAATAATTTGAAAGAAATTTTAACGAAAGGATCATTTAGTTTTCACGTAATCAATGAAATTTTAGAGTGCACGTGAAACTAGGATCATCCAAGAATTAAATAATTTTAAATATCGCTTATTAAAGAATTCTCATAAATTTTCACCATTCAATTCATTAATTCCCATCGTCATACATTCATTCCTAATCAACAGCTCAAATTACATGTATCCCGTAGTCACCGGAAAGACTCGTAGACTGAATCGAGGTTTCGGTGTATAATTCAAGAACGGTTGACTTGACAGCTAAAGGCTTTCGCAGTCGAGCATTTATATGGAAACTGTCGCGTCATAGAAATGGAAAATAAATTAACGTACGAAATGACCGTCTACAAAGCACAGACACGTGTCCTCGTATTCTACAGCATTATCGACAGTCCAACGAATCTTTGATAGTCCGTAATAAAAAAAAAAAATGAAATTCGATCAATTCAAAAATACGTGCTTTCCCATTAAAATTTTGTATATCGTGCATTTCAATATTATTTTTATTTCCTCTTAACCCTCTTTCACCCTGAATGGTTTCCAGGAGAAAGCATCCCCTTTGTTTCGTTACTTTATTCCGTACTACCCCACACTTTTTCCAGTTTCGATTATTTATTTTCAATTAAAAAAAGAATCTTCGGTCTTATCAATTAAATGAATTTCTTCATTTCAAATTTAATATATATACACTTTATGCAAACGAAGTGTCCGACGTTATTTTTTAAAATAGAAAATTCATTTTTTTTATAGCACGTAATATTGTGATATTATTATCATCAATCGGATTTACACTCTCCAATTATAATATTCATATGCGAAGTGTATCAGCTGATAACGTATCACTTTCCACTGTAGTACGAATCCCAACAATTTTGGCCAACGAGGTAAACAGACAGTACAGGTATATCCGATATGCAAACCTGTCGGACGTTCGGCTCAAATCAAGACGCCGCCTAATCCAATCAGTGATGGCAATTGCGTGCGTAGCTCGGGGCTAGAAAAGCCATCGGGATAGCAGACTACATCCCCGAGCGATCTATAGGGGTTGAGTCAGAGTTCACCCCCCGGCCAGTTCGCTCGTTTGCTCACGCGAATCCGCATGCCTACCGTTCTGCTCTGCTATATACGTAGGTGTGAGCTTCACCAAGCTGCGTTACACAACAGACTCGAAAGCCTCTGTCCAATTGGCTGCAATGGTTTCCCGAAATCACTAAACGCACGATCACTCCACTCCACTGAATGTTAATTTAATTAGCGTGTTGCCACTCTCACCTACCCCTTCAAATTCCATTGATCGTCGAGCCGTCGTTACCAAAGAGAGCTCGCTGCCAGTTGGTTGGATCGTAGACATCCAATCTACGACCATTGCCATATCAACTGGACCAATCAGCATCCTCCTCAAGTTTCTGCAACCCCATGTAAACTCCCTTATAAAATTAGAAAATAAGAAATTACGATTAAATAAGTAGAACAATTTCCTTATAAAATAACAAAATTAAGAAATATCGTAAAATAAATAAAAAAATGTTTCACGTTAACTCTATACGGCACGTGTCTGTTATATCTATATATGTAACTCCAGCTGATCATACGAGAATTGTCTAACACGCGAAACAACTGGATTAAAGTGCACCGTCCACTGAATCCAGAAGAGGGTGTCTCTTCTTGAATTTTTATTTTTTATTTTTTAGGTAAAGAATGAGTATACCTCCGAGTGAACAAAGATACTCGTGGAATTGTCTGACTCGGTGATACTCCAGACACGTCACCATACAAGAGAACGATCTAATTTTCGTGTGAGCTCAGGCACCAGCACCAGCAGCAGCAGCAGCAGCTTTATTTGAACGTCCTTCTCAGGAACGAGTGGTGGAAGAAAATTCAGGTGATAAAAACTACCCCTGGCTTCCGTAAATACGAGCTCGGTAAAACTCGAGGCCAAGATGGGTATTCAGGATAAATCGTGGAATTGAACAATTCCACGTACCTCGAATACAAGTGAGGTATACGTGGCTGTTAATTTACCACAGTTCGGGTCAGAAGCAGCCTTATTTTTCTCATTTTCCTTCCCAACTGCCCAGCAACCCCACTCAAAAAACGTCAATCACTCATACATCCTCCATTACCCAAAATAGATTTAATCAACGTAATATTTCCCCGTGACAATTCTCCGTCGCTCTTCCACTCCTGCTTGTCCCCATATTCCTCCACCCACTGTAGCTCCCGTGTCTGCTGGCTGTATGGGGTGCGTATGACGAATCGATGAGATCAGGCATATGTAGCCGTGTGAACGTAAACACCCTTGGCATTATTACGCTTTGGTGCAATATGCCATTATTACCTAAGAATAACGTCTAACGTCATAATATCCCATTACCATAGTTGTGACGTGGCAGAAAAGCCAATTATTATTATTATCATGGTACACGAGTTTTATATTTTTATCCAAACGATAATCAACCAAAGTCACGTGATCGGTAGGGAATCCGAGTGGGTCGATTGAAATAATCAAGACGGACTGAAATTTAAACGAAAAACATTTCAACTTTTCCACAGCCACGTGTCACCTAACAAAAGTACCACGTGTATCCCACAGCAGAGGTTAGCTAATGCGATTAGACGAAAAGGTCGCATCAGGCGTAACACAGTCGGACTGAGAATTTAACGTGGCACTCCTGTAAACAGGAATTAGGGCTAAATTGGCTTGCAGTGGAAGTTCAAAATATATTCCCGTTGATGCGACTCTTCCCTCAGGACATTAGTCCAGGGGGCGACCTTAGTTAAGGAGCGTGCCCGAGTGTGGGCTCTCGTTTTTCACCGAGAGCGCATTACGAAAAGGGGTTGTAAATATAGGGTGAAACCTAGGTAAAACGGGGACGAGATTCCTTCGCGATAACTATCGCATTCTTCGCGTTAACCGCCGAGAATAGGCTGGTGGGTTAGGAAATAGAAGAAAAAAAAAAAAAAAAAAAAAAAAAAAAAAAAAAAAAAAAAAAAAAAAAAAAAAAAAAAAACGGAAAATCCTTCATGAATTTCCCGGGCACGCACGACTTCCGCTAAAAACGAAGGGTGTAACGCCCGCATTAATTTTGAGACGCCTTTACAAATTCGAATTCCCACCCTCCGTCCACCCCCTCGAATACTGACATATTTATGCCCCTGTTTTAACGGCCTAATAATACCCGTGGTGCAACGGGAACGTCACCACGTAGCACTAGAGAATATCTGGCAATATTTCTCTTGACGAGAGAGGGTAGCATCGCGCAACAACGTCCCCGCGTACGTGGGGGATGGTCGTCATTGTTCTCTCGGAGGAGGCGAACGGGGGTGGCAAAGGGAAAGAGAGCCTCTAGTTCTTTCGTGTGTACGAAGCTTTCGGTATACATATATGTAGCATCCTGAATATCACAGATGCTCCAGCCATTTGTGTCTGGGCTCTCGGCGTCGCGCGACCCTCGGAATAAGGGCTGCTCATAATTGCCAGTGCATTGTGGATATTAATTTAGTGGCTCGTTCATATCGAAAGTAATATCGACCGCCCTTGTCTGAGTAAAGTCTAATAGAAGTCGCGCTCGGATGAGTTACTGGCTTTAATTTCCCGATAATACGGTTTTCCGGAAGCTATCGCTAACTTTCTTCCACCTTCGTTCACTTTCTCGTCCTTCTTTCTCTTTATGCCCTTTAACCTTCGCCATAGGTATACCACACACCTTGTCCACTTTTACTTCAGCCACTTACTCATCGCAGAACTTTCTCCGGCTCCCAGCATCCTCGTTCGTCCCACTTGGCCACATCCACCGGGTGGACCCGTTCTTCCGGCAATTGTTCTCGGATAGTTTCTGCAACGAGACCACACGTAATGCTTAACTTTTCAGCTAGCCCCAGTAATTTCGGGTATGTGTATTTTATTGGCGAACCGCAATAACCCTTGGGCATTGATTAGCTTTGTTATTGACGGCACTCAAGGCTTTGGCATATATGTATATACATTGGTCAGTCGGTGCTTTTAGTTTTATTCGCCAAGGCAAAGTGTCGGCGCACCTGCTTTTCTACGATTTTTATAGCTCGCTGGTGATCGATGGTATTAACGACGGGGACAAAGAAATGCTGGGAAAATTTAGATCGTCCTTTTTTTTTCGACTTTTTAGTCCGACGAAAAGATATAAGGGCCTCTCTATGCAGGAACTTTTGAAAGGATATCATTTTACTTGAATTCACCGAAACGCGCACAATGCTTATGTTTGTGATGGGAAGATTAATAGACAGCGAGATGCTGCGTGACCTGATAATGGATATTTTTGTATCGAGGCTGATCTTCTGATATCAATCATTTTTACAGTCAGACCAAAAAGTCAATCTATGAATTTTTAGTCAGACAACCAGGGATTGATTTTTATTAATTTTAAATAATTAGCTAATCGCAAATTAATCGTCCTGATTTTCACATTTTTTTAGAAATTTCTTTATCGTATTTTGAAAATTCGATAACACGCGGCTTCGCAGTGCCCTTAATTTTGCATGCTCCGAGTCAACCTGCAGCCTAGATTTGTAGCTTGACGGGGCTCGTAGCTGACTGGAGGGATGACAGGTGCAGGTATAATATTTCATTGGGGTGATATGCATCACCTTGAAACGTACCCAAAGCTTCCCAAGATTGTTTCGTACAGCAGAAACAGAAAGATTGGTACGTAGAAGTTTCGTAGCAACACACGACTTGACAGATCAATTATTCTTACGTCAGCTGGTATGAAATGTAAAATATTACAGAAAATTTCAAAAAAAAATTATAATAAAAAATTGTTATCCTTCCACATCTGATTGCAATAAGCCATTCCTGCACGTTATACACGTCTAACCTGTAAATAAGTTCTAAGATGAATCATACCTCAATATATCTATATATTAAAACCTACAAGAGCGTACACTCATTCTCTTCGTAAAGAATTTCATTTTTCATTCAAAATTGTTCTGCTGACAATAGTAAAAAAAAAAAAGTGAATTGATGAAACGTTAATTATGACGTGCATGACACCTAAGCGGAAAGGGACTGAGTGAACCATCCCTCATTCCGTGACAACTTTTACTCCTCGGATATGTTTACTGGGAGGATGCACCGGAAAAACATGCAGTCATCCAAAAATCAATTACGTAAGGCAGCGCCATTTTTCTACCGCCCTTTGATACCCCTCGTTACATTTACGTGCGGCGCTCCAGGACTGTCTCGTCATGCATGCAAGTCTGCATATTCCACTTCATGCTTCGTTGCATGTCTTTTTCATTTCGAGAAGAGGTTCCGTAATGAAAAACTGCAAATGGTTAGAATACGATGAAAAATAATGCTGGGTGAATATTACAAAAAGAAAAAAAGAAAAAAAAGAAAAAAGAAAAAAAAAATGTAAATTTTGTAATTAAAAAAATCGACAACCACTCGATTGCTCGAATGAGATTTTATCGGTGTGTCAGTTTTCCTGTTTGTAGAAAAGTTAATTGAAAAAAAAAAATAATAAATTGAACCGATAAAATCTACACCGAGTATACATTGGCCGTTTCCATTGGAGATTATTTTTCTAATTTCCAAAAAAACACTACATCTATCAAATTATAGAGATCCCAGACACCCTTAGCCATTTGGAGAAAAAGAGAAAGTGTCAACTCATCATGCTTGGTCATGCTGACGCGTTTTTAATGCAATTTTTTTCATTCATCTCTTTCGATTACCCACAACTGTTGCCATAAGCTTTCGAAGTGGGGTGCGTACTACGTACTGACTCTGGACTCCATCGCTCATTGCGTAAACGGTCATCTATTTCATGTGTCAGGCAACGCGAGAACCGTCCCACGAGATAATGGAATTATTTACATCTTCGGATTGGGCATACGTCAATATATACGTTTCAATCTGTATAATACGTGTGTATATATATAATAGAAATACCAGTGCAGAGAGATAGGCTGATTATAAGAGCCAACAAAGGAATTGTCACGGGGCCATCAGCCAACGAAAGAATTTACGAGCGTTCGTAGAACCAAAGAAAACGTTCCCTATCGTAAAGCCGCATTCGCAGCGTTAAAAGATGCAATGTGTCAGAAAGAAAGATCCGTAAATCGCGAGTAAAGGCTCTACGGGCCGTTCCTGACGACAATGGACCATCACGCGGATGGTATGCTAATCGGACATAATACAGATGAATTTACGATACGAGTCGAGTGTCCCTGAACTTTAGGATCGGCGCGTGCATTTTCAACGAGAGACCAGAAGGATTCTCCTCTTCGTAAAAGATCCGCCAGTCGGCGCTACGTGTCTCCGAATCTTCATTCCCATTGGCGAAGAGCGTGTCGATGGTCGTTGCGATTTACGTTACTTGGCCGGTAAGTCGCCTCTTGTGAATACAATTTTTTTTAATGAAAAAAAAAAAAAAAAAGTAAAATGGCGGTACGCAACCCCCGTACCGAAATAAAGGCGTCTTATCATCGCTGATGCATCTACCATCTTTCTTGACGTCACTTCCGTCTCTGAGATTCTTCCGGACCCACGCCCGCTTCTTCTCCGGATTGCTCGGTAATTTCTGCCGTTTCCAGAAGCGGTTATCGCGCTTATCAAAAATTTTTTTTAAAAAAAAAAAAAAAAAAAAAAGTAAAATGGCGGTACGCAACCCCCGTACCGAAATAAAGGCGTCTTATCATCGCTGATGCATCTACCATCTTTCTTGACGTCACTTCCGTCTCTGAGATTCTTCCGGACCCACGCCCGCTTCTTCTCCGGATTGCTCGGTAATTTCTGCCGTTTCCAGAAGCGGTTATCGCGCTTATCAAAACGACGGGCAATTTCCCGCGAACCAAGGGCGCCTTCTCATGTGAACTGCGAGCGCTTTCGTTCTTGCGATCTTTTTATTTATCCCGGAACGATTTCCTATGCTCCTGCGCCAAACGGAAATGTCTCTCCTGGTCCCCCTTCGTATCTTCCTTCCACGTGGCTCGCATAAACGTCCCATCGTGGAACGAATTATTACCGGGAGAAAGGATCATTCGCATTCGGCCAAGGGGGAGACGCCGAATATGCTATGAAGATGTTTCGCGTACCGTTTGCACCATTTGCGCGGAATGCCTAATCGACGAATTAAAATTATCACCCTGCGGTGGTTATTACTTTTTTTTTATCCACCCCATATACACTATGACCGTCTACGCAAACATCGGGAGAGGCAATTTTCAACGCATCTGTCACCATATGTTTCACTAGGTTTTATGACGGTACACGTGTCGACGACGTTACGGAAAATTTTTATTAATTATTATCCTCGTGTTTCATACGAAAAAAAGTAATCTTTTGGATACGATTACGTATTCAGACGTTTTCTGGCGAATTAACATTTTTTCTTAATGCTGCCTTTCGTTCAATTCTCAAAACGCTCGCTTTTCATTGACTTCGCGAGAATAATTATGACGATACCTTTCTTTTTGGCATATCCTCGATTTATGTAACTTTTTACCGCAACAAACTCCAGTCTCGAAATACAGGGAATTGTTCTGGTCAGTTTAACCAGATGTCGATAAAAGATACGAAAGGACCAACTGCTCGGACGTTAACCGTCCAGGTTCACATATTTCATTGGGCAAAACCCCTGTGAGATTATTCTGACCCGTGCCCAACTATTCTTACGGGAAGATGGAAGACTGGGTAAATCTGAAGAAAAAAGGAGGTCGTGTTGCCATGAATACCTGATTGGACCATTTTTTATACCAACATATTTTACTAGTATGACGAAAAAGAATAGTAAAAAAAATTTCTTAATCGCAGTATCAATTGTTTTAATTCACAATTTTTGGTGCCTCCACTTTACCAGTGAATCGCCAAACGTTATGGATACAGTGGCACAAGTGTTGCCTGTGACTGTACACGTCAAATTTGCAATTCTTTATAACACGTAATTGCATTTTAATTATTGTCAGCGTCGAGGACCATGTCAAATAACGTTCTCTCTCATTCTATTGCCTTTTCAAACCCCAAATTGGAGTTGCCATGAAAATTCAAACAAATGATGTGACACTCCAAGAGCGATGAAACTGAACCTTTTATTCCCACACGATTGAGTGGACCCTGTCATTTGAGGAGATTCCAATAATTGCGGCTTTTGTATATATATTCCACCACAATGATTTTCTCCCATTCTCAACGTAATACTCCTAGAATAGCATATTGTCAAATGAGACACCAGTTATCTTTTTTTGTACACCAATCGCACGATAAAAAAAAAAAAAAAAAAAAAAGAAAATGAGATGACCCAGATGATCAAGTCTAAAAAAGATTAAGTATAATCGAAAAAAGTCAACGGCAATGCTGACAATATCCCAAGAGCAGGAATCCTCTCATTTCCTTTCATTTGTTCCCTGCGAGATGTGTCCGCCCTCTTTCTCTTTTTTTTTTTGAGTTTGCTTATATTAATGACACTGTTTAGATAAGATGGGCTTATTAAGGGCACCATCGCTGAGCCCATTTCGCGCTAAAGCGACTGTATGTACAATCTGAAATTGAATACCGAGAAAAGAATGGGAGTGGGTGGAGTGGGATGAACGAGGTGGGTGGGGAGGTGGATAGCAAAATGACAATTAAATAAAATATATCCGTCTCCCTGAAAATCTTTAAATTTTTTCTAAATTTCAAAAAAAAGGGTGTCTGGTGACTCATTCGAATAAGGCAGACGTACGGACACCTTACCGTTCTCAAGGGTCTCTCGATGAATTACGGTTATCACTTAAAGTGACGTGATTGTAATCAGAAAGAAAATCGTATTGTGCGGGACTTTCACAGTATATACATATATACATATACATAAATATGTTAAAAGGCAGTTTCCAGGACATTTGGCATTTTCCAGGGTGGTCCTGGAAAAATCCTATATACAACGTATATAGTATACAACTTCCAGGGCCGTCTGGCGGCACTCACACCGAATTTTCCAAAATATTTTTTATGCTGGACACTCAAAATTTGGATAGGCTACCATGCAGTTAGGTTAGATTAGGTTAGAATTTCAATGCCGCGTGTCCCAATTTTTTTTTTTTTTTTTAGAAAAAAAATACATCCGCTTGCCGTTGTGAGTGCCGCGTGTCCTCGAAACTGCCCCTGTACAAGTTTACATATACGCACAAGTATCATCCGTACCTCATACCTCGTCTAACTCCATCTTCATTTCTGGTACACTGCTTCCCTTTCTTACTTCGACGCTGTAAAACACTTTCGCCTTTTGCCTTGATTAAAGCGTCACTTTTCATTAAAGCGCTTTTCATCTGAATTCCTCAAGATTTTAAGAGTCCTCGTTGAAGACACTTCGCGATTACGAGAGAATCTATCTCGTTTCATCGAATCTCCGCGTTGATTCGTTGCTCCCTCGTAATTTTGAGTAGCAGCTTGGAGAAAAGATTTCTGGAATAAAAAAAAAACATTTCTGACATTTAGGTAAAATACGAAATAAACATACATATATATCTCGTACTTACGTCGCAGATCGTACTATATGTGTATGAATCGTGTCTGTCCATGACGTCACGACGTAACAAAAAATTGTTACACGATGACGCTCCGACGTCGAAGCAGATTAATGAATATCAGGAACAGCGGATCCCCTGCACAAACAACCCTTATAATGGTTACCTGGTTGCATTCAGATGGAGATGGCAGCGTCGAATATTTGATGCCTCGTGATTTATTTACCGTGATGACTACACGGCGAACGTGAATGTCTTGAGAGTGCCTAGTTCTTCATTTGCGCCCTAGAGAAAAGATGAATATACGCGTATAGATACGTACGTCTATATATATATATATATAGGTATCAAGAGACTCCCTATAAAAATGTATGAGGTCTGCGTTTGGGGAGAAACATATAAATCACAGACGTCTCAATATCGAAAAATACAGAGAACAACAAATCTTAAGAATCGAAAGGGCGACCACTTTATTCGAGAGGCAGAGATAAGAATTGAACAGTACGTGAATAAATTTCTACTTCATCAGCCATTCCCAGCGCATACCCAAGCGCCGGGCACTTATCATTTCGGCAGACTCAGCCGCACAGGTAGAGTCGCACTAAGATGTCCCGACGTGAGAAAACAGAAGAAAAAAGGAGGCAGCGACGGCAAAGAAAATGTCTTTCATTACGCGAAAGAGGCGGAAGGAGAGAAAGCACGATAAGACGTAACGAACGAAGTAATTTGAAATCTCCAATTTGCTCGCGACAGCTCAGATACATCTTCCCTGTATAAAGAACGCCAAGGTTTCCTCGTCCATTTGCCAGAGCTCTTTCATGCTGACTTCATCATATTAATAGGACCGGATGTCGGATCGGGGTTGGTCCAACCAGTCGATCTCGTCTTACTTCGCATAATTACAAACGTAAGGTAAAAAAAAAATTTTTTCTTCGCAGCGACACTACAAACTCGGCGACAGGCAATTTTTAACGAGCTCATCGAAAATCGATCGATGGTCCATGCGCATGAAAAAAAAAATAATAATCAGTGCAAAATCTTCAAAGGCGCCGCACAGCTGCTCTAAACCCCCGTCACATTAGTAAACTAGCTGTTACTTTTCAATCGAAACAGCCAGTAGGTGGTGCCTGGCCGTGAGGTCGGTCTGTGGTTAGGGTACCAGAGCCATGGACGATTCTCCAAAAGGTGAGAGGAGTCTCGTGGAGGGGAGGAGCGCAGTAGGGGAAGGTGGGACGCCGAGGACGAGGATGAAGGATGAAAAGGGAGTGACCGAGTACCACGCAGTACAGTAGCCGCCAAAGGTATATCATAGTGAGGCCGAAGTGTTGGATGCCTGTGTATCCGTATGGATATACAGGGATGCTGCGAAGGAGAGTTTGATAGTTGCCGGGAGAGGGGGGTCACTACGGTGGGAGGTGGAGGTCGAGTTGAATGTTGAGCGCGAAGGAGGGGGCCCGGCGGGGCGT